CAGGCTGGGAAGGAGGCAGAGAAGTTTGGCCAGGGGATCCACCATGCTTTCGGGCAGGCTGGGAAGGAGGGAGACAGAGTGGTCCAAGGGGTCCACCATGGAGTCAGCCAGGCGGGGAAGGAGGTGGATCAGCTTGGCCGTGATGTCCATTACGCTGCAGGGCAGGCTGGGAACGAGGGAGACAGATTAGTCCCTGGTGTCCATCCTGGGGTCGGCCAGGCGGGGAAGGAGGTGCAGCAGTTTGGCCAGGGAGTTCACCATACCATTGAACAGGCCGGAAAGGAAGCAGACAAAGTGGTCCAAGGGGCCTACAGTGGGGTCAACCAGGCCGGGAAGGAGGCAGAGAAACTTGGCCAAGGCGTCCACCATGCTGCTGGCCAGGCCGGAAAGGAAGCGGAGAAACTTGGCCAAGGTGTCCACAGCGCCGCTGGCCAGGCCGGGAAGGAGGTGGACAGGTTGCAGCAGGATGTTCATAATGGGGTCAACCAAGCCGGCAAGGAGGCCAACCAGCTGCCGAATGTAGGTGAACAGGGGTGGGGGATGGGGAGAAAGGGGTGGGGGGAGGTTGAACCCCGGGGACATTCGGGGAGTCTGCGTAGGCTTCGTTTGGTGAACGCTTGGGCGGCCGTGCAACCACTCCGTCCTTCTCCACCTCCCTTACAAAGGAGCTGTGGTCGGCCGGTCGGGTGGATGAAGCCATCCTGTCCGCAAAGCCCATACCAGACGGTGGGGAAGGGACCCAGGCCCACCTTCAGGGAGCTGCCGTCCTGGTGAAGGGGGCCTCACGTGAGGAACGTGAAACGTCTCCTGGGGAACAGGGAACAGTCACTGAGACCGACACCTGTTCCAGCGCAAATGGAACGAGTGTTGGAAACCCAGAGTGTAAGCGTGAGCGTGAGGAACGGCTTTTGGAGATAAGCCCTGTTCTGTTTGATCTTCATAAAACCTCTGGGGTAGTCAGGATGCAGATGCTGACGCCCTGACTCTCAGACGAGGAAAGGGAGGCTCAGAGAGAGGTTCAGGGGCTTTGCCGAGGTCGTGCGGCTAGAGCCCGGCGTTGGCGAACTGCGGGTCGGGGATGTTTCTTTTCCTCTACACGCCCAATCGGGGGGGCCTTCGGGCGGATTTCTCTTCCCCATTCCTGCAGAGGGGACAGACAGTGGAGGCCAGGCAACGGCACCATTCACAGCAGAACAGGCACCGAGGGGGGAGCTTGGGGAACAGCGGGAGGCTGACTCCTGTATGCCTCGATGCCCCGTTCTCCAGCCTCCATGGGATCAGCAAGATGTGGGTGGCACTGTCTTGGAGACTGGCCCAGGCCCCGAAGCCCAGAACCACATCTGCTGCCAGGCAGCACGCCAGGGATGGGCGGGTGGGGAGGAGAGCACAGCAGACAGAGGGCCCTGCCTTGAGCTGGCGACAGCAGCAGGGGCGGGAGCACTGCCGGGGAGGCATGCACGCCCGAGTGTCTGGGGACAGGATTAGGGACAGGAAGGAGCCCGAGTTAGGGATACAGCTGGACTGTGTGTACAAGGGGTAGATTTGAGGTCAGGGCTGAGGCTAGACTGCGGTCCCGGGATTCGCGTGGGTCCCCTAGGTTCCCTTTCCAGTGAGACCCCTTCTCGGTGACTGAGACCGTGTCCTTGACTGAGATAAAAGGCGGTTTGGGAGGAGCAGCGAGTGGGAGGCACACACCCTTCCCGGGGTTCCTTCCCGTCTCTTGCAGAGTTCCCACAGCAACCCGGGCTTCGGGTCTTCTGTCCGGACAGTGACAAGGCAGCAGGTTAAGCCCGTGCCTCCCTGCAGCCCCCGTCACCCTAGAGGGGACCAGGCCACTGGAGAAGGAGCTTGGGGGGTTGAGGGGCTGTAATGACGCTCTGGGCTCTGTCCACAGGCCAGTCATCAAGGCGGGTCTTCCGCCCAGCACGGAGGGGCCGCAACCACCACATTAACGTCTGGAGTAAGTCTGCCGAGCGCGGGGTGGCCTCGTGGACTCGGGAGGGAGGGAGTGGAGGCCCAACGGACTTCCCCCACGGACTTCCCCCAGGGGGGTGGGACGCACGCTGGGGACTGACCTGCTTGTCCTTGCACTCCAGGCCTCGGTCAACAAGCCCTTCATCAACTTTCCAGCTCTGTGGAGGGTGAGTGCCCGCATGGCGTCCCCGCGCTGCTCTCTGCCTTGCGAGATGCTCTCACCTGCCCTTCCCGGTGCCTGTCCCCGGGCAGCTCCCCGGGCAGGGGCCTTCCCCGCCTTCCCCTGCTCTTCCCCTGGGCGGGCTGCTTTCACCTTTTGGGGGCTTTTCATTCCCGCTGAGTCCCCTCCAGGACCCTGGTGCATCCAGGAGCCAGGGAGGGAGGAGGGGCTGCTGAAACACCTTCCCCACCACATGCCAGCCTGCTCCCTGTCATTGCTCCTGCCATCTCCATTCCCTCCCTTCCCCACCCTGCTGTGAATACCTCTGCTACCCTGCCCTGCTGCTTGCGTCGTCGTCGTACAGGGAGTGGGGACTTGTGGCTTTGTTCTTTCCTGGTTGAGACCCCCCCCCATAGCTTCCACCCGGTGTAAAGGCTCCTGTGGGATCCTGCTCCTCCCTCTGGGCCCAGGCTGTCTCAGTGCGCGTAATACGTCTGCTGCCTGCACTGGGGCACAGGCCGAGGGTGCGCGACAGGCAAAAGCGCGCCCTGTGTGTCCCCGGCTATGGGGGTGGCAGAAGGTCCTCCGAGTACAGACAAGGCTTCCTGGTTCCTACAGAGGCTCCCAGCACCTTTGCCTGGGAGGGCTGACTTCCTGTTCTGACTAATCTGGATGCCACCTGCCTTAAGATCGCCTAGAACGTAGCCCATTCCTCGGCCAGAGTAGCCAGCGTCCCTCTCACTTCTCGGGAGGGGTAGGGACAGAGGCCTCAGGCCCCCACATGACTCTGTACCCTGCATTCACTTCCTCTCTCCTCTCTTCCAGGGCGTCGCCAACATCATGCCCTAAACTGATGCCCGGGCCTTGCTGGGCAGACTAATATTCCCGTTGTCATACCCGCTGAAATGACTTGGAAGAACTGGGGTGGGGGGATAGGTTTCTGGAGTCCCTGAGATTTGTGAATAAACGTTATACACTGTACTCTCTCATCGTGGTCCACTGTGCTCCCTAAGGAGGGAGGGTGCGGGGGGCAGAGGCTTGTCTTTTCTTGTTACTTTGCAGAAGGAGTGCAGGGGGCGGTCTGTAGCGCAGGATGGGTTGAGCTGGAGCTGTCAGGCTGATCAGCTCGAAGAGGACAGTTAGCAGGGACGAGCCGTGCTTTGCTGGTGTGCAAGGTTCGTGCTCGGCACTGGGCAGAACACCGGTGCAGGGACGTCCTGCACAGGCCACTGCTGAGGACAGAGGCACCAGGAGAGCTCGGCGGGAGCCCAGGTGGCGCCCGTTCAGGGGGTGGGGCAGCAGAGGAATAACAATAGTTACTTGTGTTTATTGTGCAATTAAAACACGCCAGGCTCCCTGCTGGGCGCTTTACATGCATGACATCATCGAATCCTCCCAGCCACCCAGTTAGGTAAAAGGTACTGTTATTGCCTCATGTTATAGAGAAGCACGTGGAGGCTTGCACGGGTTGGGAAACACGACCAAGTTTACGCAGTAAGCGGAGGGAGGGAAACGGCCTGCGAGCTACAGAGGACCCTTTGGAAATACGGAGGTCTTTTCCTGGTTGGCATCGGCATTGAGGAGGACTCAGTGAATGGAGAGAGGACAGAGATACACGTGGGGGATCCTCCCGGGGAAGGAGAGGGAGGGACGGAGGGCTCAGGTGGAAGACACAGTGACAATGGGACATGAACGGAGACACCCAAGGCCCAGAGGAACAACGATAACACCGGCAACTGCTGTGCACTGAGCACTTACGGGGTCCCGGGTTCCGCGTGAAGAGCTGCTCATATTCTGTAGCCACTGAGGCCTCCCACAACCCAGAGGTGAAGTCCTCTTATTATCCCCATTGTATGGATGAGGAAACTGAGGCTCAGTCGGGCAAGGGCACTTGAAAGGTAACCCCTGAGAAAGCAGCAGGCCTGGGTCCGGTTCCCTGTCTGCTGCGAGAACCTGACCTTTGGCGCTTGCCCATGAGGTCTCTGTAACACTCTTGAGCGCTGGCGTGGCTGCGGGGAGACCTGTGTTCCCATAAGGAACAGGCGCCGAAGGCAGCTTACTTCCGCTCTAGGGCCACAGTGTCCTCCTCTATAAAGGGGGTGGGTGTCTGAACGGGAGGACTGCAAGCATCGCTTCCAGCTCCAAAATTCCATCAATCCTGGGACCAAAAATAAAAGTCAGTGTTCTCACCCTTGGGGCATTTACAGCCTTCCCGAGGAGGCCAGGCACATACACAGAACACGGGAGCAGACACACAGCGGTGCCTCAGTGGGGATACTCCGCGAGGGGAAGGACCTGCGTTTGCACAATAAACGTGAAGTTCCCGATACTCTACTCACTGCTTTTTCCCTTATTTTGTGGAAGACCATCATTTTATTATATATATTCCTTCCCTGCCCCTGCAATATTTTATTTTAAGAGCATTTCAATCATACTGAAAGATGAAAGAATTTTACAGTGAATACTTCCATTCTCACTACTTGGGTTCTATCATTCACATTTTACTATTAACTATTTTACTATGCTAGATCACACATCTATCCGTCTAGCCACGTATCAATGGATTTCTGATGCATTTCAAAGTAAACTGTAGATATCTGTGTGCTGCACTTTAATAAACAGAACCGTTCATTTGTGTCAGACGTTTATTGAGGGTCTACTCTGTGCTGGGCATTGTTTCACACGAACAGGAGGAGGCCCTACTTGGAGGCATCCTACAAAACCTGCCTTTGAAAAGGTAACATTCAAGGGAACCCTTCCTTTATACAGTAAAAGCTTTCACCGACTTTATTTTCATGCACATTTTCTTGCTGGGTTACTTGGACGGGGGTTCTGAAAGTCCCAAAGAGATGTGGGATGATCCACACGTGCTAAGGGTCAGTTCTGGGAGGCCTTTGGAAAAGGAGAGCTTTGAGGTGGTGTTGAAGCCTGGAGGTTTGTCTGCTGTTCCCTCTGCTGGGACGATTCTCCAGCCCCTCTGTCCCCCATGCTGACTCTTCCTCACTCTGCAGGTCTCAGCTACCTTGGCCACCCAACCAGAGCAACAGTCCACCCTTGTCATTATTTCATGGCACATTGATCTTCATGTTGCTAATGGCAGTCTGTAGTTACATGACAAATATTATATCCGTTTCCCTCCTAGACGAAGGGGCTCAAGAGGTGAGGTCGAAGCCAGGCGCAAACGTCCGGCAAGTAGCAGAGGGGAAGCCACTGGCTTGAGCGGACATGGGAAGGGCCATAGAGTAAAAGCATGAACAAGAACTAGGCTGCTTTGCCCGAGACGGGCGGAGCCAGGCCAGGGAGTGACAAGGAGAGGAAGGGCGGGTTTCTGCAGATGTGGAAGGACAGGGAGAGGAGTTTGGGCAGGGCTCCCACAACCGTCTTTTACTGGGTGCTTACCGGGTCTGTGCTAAGCACTTCCAGACGTGATTCATTTCGAACTCGCAGCCACCCCATGGGGCAGGCGCCATGATTATCCTCTTACGGATGATGAAGAGGAGGCTCGGGGAAGGCAGAGAGTGGTGATGGTAGGGCTTCAATTCAAGGTCATCCCTACTGGTGGTGATGGTAGGGCTCCAATTCAAGGCCATCCCTACTGGTGAGGCAGCATGGTCCCCTGTCACCCTCAGGAAGGGGAAGGGGGCTACTTCCAAAGGAGTCCTCTTTAAAAATAAGTTTTTGCATTTGGCCCTTGCAGGCCGTGTGTGTGTGTGTGTGTGTGTGTGTGTGTGTGTGTCTGTGCATGTGTGTCTCAAGGTTAAACAATGCCAAGAAAGCATTCTGACAGCACCACCATGACCAATGCTACCAAGAACATGTGCTGAGTGCCTCTGTGAGCCAGGCACCTCTCCAAGCTCTTTACAGGTTTTAATCCAGCTAATCTTCACATTCACCTCCTTCATGGACGAGGAAACTGTTGTGCAGACGGGTTAAGGTCACGGTCAGCGAGCGGTGGAGCCAGGATCTCAGCTTAGGATCCACCATAGGCGCTGTGGCAGAGGAGAGCCTGCTGACACCAGTTTGAGACCAGAGACCCCACAGAAGGGAGCAGAGACATCACCCAGACCCAAGGCCTCATCTTCCCACTACACTTGAGTCCAGTGTGCATTCCCTCCCTGAAGGGTTGGTCTCTACTGCCCAACACCCCCCAGTCTGTTCCCTAGAGGAACCCTGTTAGCTCCTGCCTCAGCTCAGAGCCCTCGACATATTCCAAGTAAAAGTCAAAGTCCTTTCATGATCTTTACCTCTTTGACTTCAACTCCTCCCATTCCCCTCTTGCTCCCGCCACAATGGCGCTTGAATACAGTAAGGAGGCTGTTGCCTCAGGGCCTTTGCACTGCTGTTCTGCTGTTTGGAATACTCCAGCCCCAGACAACCTCATGGCTCACTCTCCCACTTCCTTCAGGTCTCAGCTCAAATGGCCCTTTCCTGACTATGCTGTTTAAAATACCTCTTCTGTTTTCTCCATTCCCTCACCCCACTGTATTTGTCTTTATAGGGTCCTCATTGTCTGATATGTTTATTGTCCAACTTCGCCTACGATGAATGAATGAATGAATGAATGAATGTAAGCTCTGCAAGAAGAAAGGTTTTGATGATCTTATTCCGTGCTGTATCCCCAGCGCCTGGAATAGGTGAGGCACAGAGTAGCTACTCAATCGGTATTTGTTAAATAATGTAGTGCACTAGACAGAAAAGTCCAGAAGGTCTTGGGCATGATGTGGGCACGTCGGATTTGTGGGTGCTGTTACATACAAGAACGAGGGAGGCCTGGTGGTGTAGGAAAAAAAGCTGTTTGGGAGTCAGACAGACGTGGGTCGAATTTTGACAGCTCCATTTTACCATGATCTTTGCACATACGATCTTGCGTGTGACGGCTAACCACCCTGCGCCTCGTTTACCTCATCTGTAAAATGGGATTCGTATGGAACTCTTGAGGTAATAGGATTAAATGAGATCACGCATGTGCAAGCACCCGATGTTCTACGTGGTTCACAATAGGTGTGTACTAAGCGCCTTAAGACTGACCCAAGGGGGCCCCTCGGGTCCAGCAGTGTCTGAGGGCAGTTTTCCCAGAAGGCAGAACGTGGGACTGCTGGTGTCATGGGAGAATTTAGCTGGTTGGTGGACAAGGCTTTGGATAACTCTGAATCACACGGTGAGAAACTTCCTCTCCTCTCCATTGTCTTCTAAGCTTTCTGATTATGTTAAAGAAAAGGACTCAACTTCTGTGCTCGTGTGCCCAAACACCTCTCTCATACTTGCTAATATTTGTTTTTATCAAAGACGGCACGGGAGCCATGGCCAGTATAGTGGAATGCCATTGTTTGCGCGTCACTATGTTTTTCTAGTACTTTCTATTTATGGGCCAGTGATCCTGGCTTTCCCTTCATGGCGGTGATATAAAGCGTTCACTTAAATATTCTTAAGTAAACAAAGTAAGCTGGTTTAAAGAAACACGTCAGTATTAGAGAAGGGAGAGGGCAGACCCACAACACCGCGAAGGCACAGACCAGTGAGAGAGTTCGGGAAGGAGCCTTTGAGTCCCCGAATGCACCGCCCGGGACCCCTCCTCCTGCCCGGTGGCATCTCCATTACCCGTCCTGGGGGCCCAGTTTTTTCCCTGCAGCCCACTCTCTTTTGGCCCTTGTCACTGTGTCCTCTCTGAGCCCCGATTTCAGTGTCTCTGAACGGGGGTGATAAGAAGACCTGTGTCCCAGGGCTCTAGGATCCTTCCAATGCCTTGTCCAGTGCTGGGCACACGGAAAGCCTTGCTAAGCTGGAGCTGCAATAGTTATTATTATTATTATTACCACCACCATTATTATCCTCATTAAAGAGTCAGAGACGGAATAACAGGGAGGTAGGAGCTGGGGAGGACAGACGGGGACTGTGTTTACATGGTGAGAAGTGTCGGATGTTACAAGTCGGGGTGGAGAGGGAGGGAGGCAGAGACTGACTGGGAGACGTTGAGAAAGGTGGATGGAAACCGGCCCCTCCTAACTGGGCGATGAGTCCCAGTGATACTGAGAGGGTGCCAAGTGGGAGGCCCCGCGGCCCCTGGGAACGGAGAAGCGGCCGTATTTGCCGAGCAGGGATGAGACCTGGGGAGCCCGCGCTCTGCACCCCGAGCTGGGCTGGGAGAGGGCCGTGCTGCTCCTGGCCTGGCCCCTGGGGAGCCGGGTGGGGGCTGAGCAAATGCAGCCCCGCTGTGAGCTCACACAGGTGCCCCTCCAGGCCGGGCAAACAGGACGGGCGCCTGGGTCAGCTGCTCCCTCCCTTGGCCCTTCCCGCCCACTCTTCCCTGGGGGTGGCTGGCCCGCCCAGCTCCCTGCTCCACACCCAGCTTTCTCGCCAGGACGCTCCCCGAAACACCCTGGTGCTGCTCTCAGGGTCGTGGCCGCTTCCTTCCCTGACCCCTCGGGTCCCCACTCACGGCTTCCCGGAACATCAGAGCCTTCCCCGCAGCCCCACGGCTGCCAGGCTGTCTCTGCGGGCGGGAAGGGATGCTATCGCCTTTAGTGGCAATTTGGGACGGAGGAGGGGGACAGGAAGGCCGACTGAAACTGAGAACGGCCAACAAGGGGCACCTGTCTGTCACTCTGGTGTCCCTGAGCCGGGCCGGCTGATGCCTAGGTGGGCCCCGTCCCACTGGGCTTCCCTGTCCTTGCTACCCTGGTGGGGTCCTGCCTGTGACCCCCTCCCTCCCAAGTCCCCCCACCCCGCCGCCTCCAGGAGACTCCACCAGCCTATCTCCTCGGATGCCCCTGCCCCCACCCTGTGCCCCAAATTCCTGGGGTTGGGAAACTGGAACGCATTTGTGTCGTCTCACCCCTCTGATGGTCGGGCTCCCTCTCTGTTTCAACACAGCCTCTCAGGCTCCCAATTACGGCTCATTACCCTATCGGTGGCCGGTGGCCGGGCCCTGAGTCACTGGGGGAGGCACCTAGGGCCGCCCAGCCCTGTCACCTTGTCCCAACCTACAGTATAAGGAGTAGTGACAGGGAGGAGGACTCTGGGAAGGCAGGGGCGTCTGGGGAAGGAGAGAGAAGGCTGCACACCCAGAGGGAGGGAAGGACAAGGAGTCAGGAGGGAGAAGGGGAGAGAGGAGGGCACGCGGAGGAAGAGAAACGGCAACAAGAAGTAGGCTTGGGTGGGAAGAAGACACTCAGGAGAGGCAGAGGGGGCTGGGCAGAGATGAAGTTGCAGGGGTCCCTGGCCTGCCTCCTGCTGGCCCTGTGTCTGGGCAGCGGGGAGGCTGGCCCGCTGCAGGGTGGAGGGGGGAGCACTGGAACAAACGTTGGGGAGGCCATCGGTCACGGAATGGGAGATGCCATTAGCCAGGGGCTTGGGCAGGCCATTGGCGAAAAGGCCGGAGGGGCAGCGGGCTCTGGAGTCAGGGAGGCCACGGGCCATGGCGCGGCAGATACTTTTAGCCATAAGCTCGGGGAAACGGCCCATGCTCTTGGAAACAGTGGGCGTGAGGCTGGCAGACAGGCTGGGAATGTCCTTGAACACGGAGCAGATGCTGCCCACAGCTCCTGGCAGGGGGTGCCCGGCAGCAGCGGTTCTTGGGTGAGTGCTGGGAAGCTGGGTTGAGGATCTTGGGACAGGGTTGAAAGGGTGATTGGGTCTCTTATCTGCGGCTGTCTGGGGCAGTTTCCTTCCATGTTATGCACCCTTCCTCTACGCCTTGTCCTTTCTCTCTCTCTGTTCTGCTCCGGCTCCTGTCTATTTCACGGTTGCTTTGCCTGCCCTCCCCCATCGGGTACTGTGTTCTTGCAGGGAACATCTGGAGGCCACGGCATGGCCAATCCCGGAGGTTCAGGGACTCCCTGGGGACATGGATACCCCGGAGGCCCATCAGGCAGCTTTGGAACCAATGTTCCTGGAGGATCCTGGGGCCCAGGAAGCAACGGAGGGTCACCAGACTTTGGGACCAATGCTCAGGTAAAGTCACCGCCCCGGCCCGATCCCTGCCACTCCCTTCCTCCAAGCCCACACTCCCCACACGCCTCCCTCGTCCTCTGGGCCCTGCACTCAGTCTCACCCTCCCCGCAGGGAGCCGTGGCCCAGCCTGGTTACGATTCAACGAGAGGCAGCAGCCCGAATACAGGGGTAAGAGGGAGAGTCTGGGACGAAGAGGTGCCTGGTGCCTGTGACCGAAAGCGGGGAGGAACAAAGAGGAAGCAGGATGGCAGAGGGGGGACTGGGGTGAGAAGAAGTCGGGCCAGAAAGAGATGGGCCTGGGAGGAGGCCAGGAAGACGGCAGGGGGATGGGAAGGGGAGGTGGGGTGGGGGGACGCCTTTGGGGAAAGAAGGCCAAGCCCCAGGGGACAGGAGAGGCCTGGCTCCTGGAGATGGCTGTGACCAAAGTCTCTAAACTCGCTGTCCCTGTCCCTCTGCAGTGCACCAACCCCCCGCCGTCCGGCTCAGGAGGAAGCTCCAGCAACTCTGGGGTAAGAGGAGGGGCGGCCTGGGCATTCTGCCCCGGGAGGAAACGGGCAGGAGAGGAGGGGGAGGAGGGAAGAGGTCCTGGAGTCTTTAATCCTCGCTCTGGTCCCTTCCTGCCTCTCAGGGGAGCAGCAGCTCTCAGTCAGGCAGCGGCAGCGGCAGTGGCAGCGGCAGCAACAGTGGCAGCGGCAGCGGCAGTGGTGGCAGCAGCAACAGTGGCAGCGGCAGTGGCAGTGGTGGCAGCAGCTCTCAGTCAGGCAGCGGCAGTGGCAGTGGCAGCAGCAGTGGCAGCGGCAGTGGCAGCAGCAGCGGCAGCGGCAGTGGTGGCAGAGGCAGTCCGGGGAGGGACTGGGTGAGCTCTGCACCTCCACTGAAGGGACAGACGGGGCGAGGCCCCTGGTGGTCCCTGCCGAGGACATGGGCTCCAAGTTTTCCCTCAAAGCTGCCACCGCCCCTGGGCGGGTGGCCTCACTGGCAGTTGTCACCCCAGGGCTCCCGTAGCCTCTGTCCCCCACCTTCCAGCCCCAACCAAGCTGTGCTCTTACGCACAAGCTACGGTTTTGCACAAGCGGCGACCCGCGCTTCCCTGTGTTCCGCTCCGCGGCGGTGGGGAGGTTCTCCCGCCAGTCTAACCTCTACTCCTGCAGTCCGTTCACTCGGCAAGCCAGGGGGAGCCGGGGTGGTGGAGGGAAGAAAGGAGGTGGACACGGGAAAATAGGACACTTGCTTGGGAAGCTCCCGAGAGGATGGGGACAGGACTGTGCGTGTGTAGACTGAAGGACGTGTACAGAGCCGTGGTGGGGACGGAACCGGTAGCTGCAGGGCACACAGGCCCCCAGGGGTGGGCGAGGGGCCAGGAGGGAAGCCACGCCTGGCAGCCGCCTTAGAGCTCCGGGAGAGGGTCTGAAGCGAGGGAGCCGCACCTGGCTTCCGTGGGGGCCGGGAAAGGTCCAGGAAAGAGGAGGGAAGTAGCCATAAGCCGAATAACAGAAGGTGCTGGAACTTACTGCTCCTTGTACTACCCTCATTTCCTCCCATCTACGACCAACCCTTAGAAAATTCTAGGAATTTTGATCAAAGCGGCTACTCAGATTCCCAGGTGAAGACTCCAGGGGTCCCTTCCGCTTCCTGTCCCCTGGTGGCAGGCTCCGGAGGCTTTGCCACCCCTGGCCTGCGGTGGGGGCGTGGGGTGTGGGCAACAGCTCAGATTCCCCAAATCGTCGCACATTTCCAAATACCTCGGCCACACCTGGCCTTCTCCGTGCTCAGATGAACTTCCCGCCACCCGGCTAGAGACGGGGAAGGTCTGGAGGCTGGAGAGAGGGTTAAATTGATCAGGGGTCGCAACAAATCCATCGTCCCGCTGGGAATGAGCGGTCCCTTTGCAAGTCCTTTTAACACAGCGAATGAACTCTCGCCTTCCCACGTAGGGGTCCAATGGCGGCTCTTCCTCGGGCGGCGGCGGTGGAAATAAACCCGAGGTGAGCGGCTGGTGAGCGCGCACGGGCACGAATCTCCCTGGAACTGTGGGGAGAGGAAGAGGAGGAGCAGGGGCCCTGGGGAATGGGGGAGAATAGGGCCAGCCTGCCCCCGAGTGGGGTGGAGGTGGGCGCCCTGGGGTGGAAATGCTGCCAGTGGGGCAGGAACTGGTGTCTGGGAGGGGACTGAGAGTCTTC